TGGATTCTTTCTCACCCATCTGAGGAGTGGACGGACTGGGAGGAGGAAGGGTCGCCCGGTTCCAGCCCTAGCCCCTACCGCCCCCGGCTTGCCTGGGACTGGCCCCGGTTTAGCACTGAAATTCCCACCTCCCGGGGAGCCTCTCGATCCTCGGTGCGGGGCAGACCTGGACAGCTGGTCACACCAGCTCTGCCACTCTGGATGAGTGACTTGGGGCGGCCACTCCATGTCTCCAAACCACGGTTTACTGCAAGAGAAAGCTGGATCCTGAGCGCTCCCAATTTCTGTGATTTTGCTGGTGATGGGGTGGGGGTGGGTAGGCTCGCTCTGGGGTAAACATGACATCTGAGGGAACCGGACCGCAAGCAAAGAGCTGTGACTCTCGTCCTAGGCTCTCCTCTGGGAGCTTCACGTGTCCCTTCATGGATGCAACAGGCACTGAGCACCTGCCATGGGCCAGGTTCTGCCCCAAATGCTGGGAGTGTGAGGAACATTCCACACCTCCCAGGATTCCCTGAGGTTGCATCTGGTGAGGAAACACAACAATGTAACAAGAAAGGCTGCTGAGGCATGATGAGCACCGCGCAGGATGGTGCAGAAGGGGACAGCCCGGCCTGGGCTCTTTAGGTTGCCATGTCAGCCCCTTCCTCCCCCGCCCCCCACCTCCATGCCCACCCCAGTTCAGCGGTTGGAGTAAAGAAGATGAGGACAAAGCGGCAGAGAAACCTTTTCCTAAGCCGAGGAGCTGAGAAGGGGCCAAGGACAGCCACCTCATTCACAAATCCCAGCCAGTCAGAAGGATGGTGCTCAGCTAGCTCTAATCTCCTCCATTTCCCAATGGCAAGTTTCAGGTTCACTCTGAGATCTCAGCAGAACCTCACCGTGACCTTGAGAGAGGGAGCCATGCACCATCCCACCCATTTTACAGATAAGGAGACTGAGGTTCAGAGAGGGTTTTGCCTATCTGGTCATAGTCACGATACACTCCTGGGCCTTTGAATCTGGATTCTGAGTGCCACGTGAGCCTCAGTCTCCCAGGACTGTGGCTTGGATCATGAGGGCAGCTTTGTAAACACCAGAGAGATATCTGCCTCAGAGGATCCTTCACCTAAGCAGTTACCTGTGTATAAATAAATTTATTTAATCCTTATAGCAGCCCTCTGAGATAAGCACTATTATAGTCCTCATTCTTTAGAGGATAAATATTGTGCTTAATGTCACGTAGCTAGTGAGTAGACATCTTGGGATCCGGACCTAGGGAGGCTAAATCCAGCCCCGATGCGTTTACCCACAGTGCACCACCCTGCCTCTCATAGAAGCTCCTCAAATATTAGTTGACAGAAAGAACAAACAGAATGACTCTTGCTTTTCTGCATGCTTTCTTTAGTTGCCTAGATAAGCTATCTGGTGAGAAAAGGGGCTAACCTTGTGTGCAGGACTGCCCTCTCCCACCCCTGACTCTTTGGGATTCGAGGATGCGTGCATCCTGCGGAAATATCAATAGAGACTTGAAATGCTCTGTAGCTGGATGTCGAAGGGCCCTGGCTGAGCAGAGCTGGACCCCAGCCCTGAAGAGGTTCAGAGGATGAACTCCAGCTCCAAAACGACCCTGGGGAGAGGGGGTCCGGCACTGTGGAGTGTGCAGGAAATACCTGGAGACCAGTTAGCCAAAGCACCAGAGTGGTTCAGGGAGGAAAGATGGCAGAAAGAGGAGGGTAAGGGATGATCACACATCAAGATCGTAGATCCAGAAGGGAGGAGACTGGATCTCCTGGAGATGACACCAGCTGTTGGGTGAGAGCTTTCAGCTTCAATTTCAGGTCATTGCTACCAGCAGTCAGAGGGATGAACCCAGGGTCGGCTCAAACGTCTGCCCTTAAGAGAGCAGATTATGGGACTATTGGAATGTGGCTCAGCTAGGACTTGAGTGGAGAGGCACAGACAGCACCAGACAGGGTGGGTGGGGTGGGATGGGGTAGAGAGAGGTACTTAGACTATTTTTAACTTGGGCTGGGTTGGGGAAGGTGTGGGGAAAGTTGCTTGTGGCACATAAGCCACACTTATGTTGAAAGTCAAAGGAAATCACTATAGGGCAGAAGTCATTTAGAGGGAAAAACGTAATCACTAATGCTGGAACCTTCCATGTATTAATGAAGGTAGGAAGTCCCACCTTAGTCCTTAAGCAGTGCTGTGAGTTGCTCAGGATGAAGTCTCCCAAGGAGTACCCCAGACTTTCCTATTTTCTCTTTCAGGCAGAAAAAAAAAAGAAAAGAAAGAAAGAAAGAAAGAAAAAGAAAAAGAAAGAAAGAAAGAAAGAAAGAAAAAAGAAGAAAATCTCTCTCTGCTAAAACTCAATTTCTTCACCGATGCCTTGGATCCTTTCCTCCCCCACCCATGCTCCTCTCCGGCATTAAGACACATCTTCCTCTTTTCCTCTTTAGGATGTGGCTCCAGCCCTCAATGCTCACTGAAATTGCTCCCTTCCTTCTGGTCTCCAAATATAATAGCCTTTCTAAATCTATCCTTTTCAACCCTTTTGTAGATTTATTAGTCAGGGTTCTCCAGAAAAACAGAATCAACAGCTGGTAAGCTGGAGACTCAGGCAAGAGCTGAAGTTGCAGCTCAAGTCCAAAGGCAGTCTGCTGGTGGGGCTCTCTCTTCCTCCACGGAGGCCAGACTTGTTTCTTCTTAAGGTCTGAAGACAAGGCCCACCACATGGTGGAAGGTAATCTACTTAACTCAAAGTCTACTGATTTAAATGTTAATCTCATCTAAAATACATTTCCACATCTAGAATAATGTCTGAATTACCCCCCCCTGCAAAATAAATAAATAAAAATAAAATAGAATAATGTCTGACCAGATATCTGGGTACCATACCCGGCCAAACTGACACATAAAATTAACCATCACAGACTATTGGCAGCTCGTTCTTGAATCTCTCTTCTCCCCTGGTTTATCTTATCCTACTTACTTCTGATTCTCCTTCTAAACTGCTTTGACTTCTCTTTCTCTAATGGCCTTTCTTATTAAGTATATTTTCTAAATAACAGACATTCCCTACCTTTATAGTAGTTAGTGTGAGTGACACTCACTGCTGTGACAACCCACACACCCCACTATCTTAAAACAACCATAGTTTATTTCTCACTCATATCACCATCCAGTGTGGGCCGGATAGTTTTCTCTTCCTGATGGTGACTCTGGGACCTAGGGACCTTCCATCTTGTATTACCGCCATCTCCCACAGATGGCTTTAAATTTGCTGTAAAATGGAAGAGAAAATGGAAGCTCATGCATGGAAGAATTTTAAGGGCTGGGCTGGTATACAGCACTTTGACCCATGTTCCATTGGCCAGAGCCCCTAATAGCAAAGGGGCTTGAAAATAAAATTAGCTATGTGCCCTGAACGGAGTGGGAAGCCCAGATCAGCTGGCACAGGCATTCTCTGGACAGGCCACCTTTCTGGTCACCTAATACCTGTTTGCTCCCTTCTCTTTGCACATAAAACACGTTCACTCCTCCCCAGGGAGGCCTCTCAAAGTCCCACCCACTGTGGAGCTCAGAGTCCAGGCTCTCTCTGTGATTCTGTCTCCCATCAGGTCTGGAAGTGGCTCCAGTCTCAAATGGGGGCACCTGGATCAGATAATCACAATGGCAATGCCCATTCAGGACACCCTTGTCCATTATACTCCAGGCTGTGTCCTTTAGGAGGTTCTTTGTGCCCCCCCCACCCTCCTGGGACACATCTCAAGCAGATGCTGGGGGATGAGCCTTTCCTGGGGGGCAGCCCATTGCCTCCTGGAGAAAGATTGTGTTTCAGCTCCAACAGTCAAGATGAAAGATAAAGTTCTTGGTATTGGTTTGTTTGTTTGCCCTGGAAGTCCTTCAGTTTTAGCAAAGTGACCACACCCAGAGTTTTTTCCTAGACATAGTTCCCAAACTGGCTCGATTTTTATGTTCGCT